TTTCTTCAACAAATTATGTCCGTTATTTCACCTGAAGATTTTTGTTTTTACTTGAAATTATGATAGGTGGACGGGACGGAAAAGACGCTTCTGTTCGGAATACATCCCTTTTCTTAAAATTTGCTTGCCTTCTCGACTCTCGAAACTAAGCAAGCTAGTTCTTCACAAAAATGCCGCCTCAGTCAGTGATCTTTTTTATTTCTTTTGGTGTGTACATTTACATGTATATTTTCTTATTTTTTTTGTCGGGGAAAAAGTGTCCCACAGCTTTATAATTAGTTTCTTTGAAAAATCTTCTAATCTTGATTCTATGAAACTTCGCCCAACAAATGATTGTTTATGGAAATCTACCCGAACAGTTTTGCATTCGAAATACCGCTTCTGCTCAAAAAGTGCAAATCAAACAGGTAACGCCTCATCTTTGCTGGTTCACTGTTTAAAAAAGTACCTTGCAATTAACTGTAGTAATGGCTGAACTAAAAATTGCATCTATGAATGTCAGGGGAATAGGAAACAATAAGAGAAGAGAGACTTTCAACTGGCTCAGAAACAAACAACAATCAATTATCTTTTTGCAAGAGGTACACTGTACGGAGGCAACTATTGACACGTGGAGATCTGAATGGGGCTATAAAGCGCTCTTTAGTTGCTTTTAAGGAAGCTCAGCAGGCGTTTGTATTCTCTTTAACAACAATTTTAAATTTGATATTTTAAAAACCTTTTCGAACCCCTCCGGACGTTATATTGTATGCGATATTAAAACTGACGAAAAACGTTTCACCCTGGCAAACATTTACGCTCCTAATGAAGACGACCCGTCCTTTTTTAAACAAGTTTTTGATCACTTACACGATTTTGCGTGCGAAGAAATAATTTTGGAAGGTGACTTTTTAAATCTAGAAAAACGACACTACAGACAGGGAACAATTAGTCGCTTAAGGAAAAGTGAAAACGACTTTGCAACCACAGATAAGGAAATCCTTCATGAATGCGAGTCTTTCTTCAAGGATCTTTATTCTTCTAAGATGAAAACTGACTCGATTCTTCCAGAAACTGACCTTTAATCCTCAGAGAAGGACACTGTTTTAAGCAGTGAGGAACGCGATTCCATTGAAGGTTTGTTAACTGAATTGGAATGCCTCAATCCTTTGAAAGATATGGAACCAGACAAAAGCCCGGGAACAGATGGCTTGCCTTCTGAATTTTACCAGTTTTTTTGGAGCGATGTTTCCAAACCTCTGCTAGAAGTTTTAAATTACGGTTTCGAGATCGGCCAGCTATCTATATCTCAAAAACGAGGTATAATAAAACTTATTCCCAAAAAGAGTGAAGAACTTTACAACATCAAAAACTGGAGGCCGCTTACACTCTTAAACTACGATTGTAAGATAGCTACAAAAGCGATTGCAAACCGCCTGAAGACCCATCTCCACAAACTGATAAACAATGACCAGACTGGTCAGGACTGGTCAGGACGGTTTATAGGAGAGAACATACGTCTAATTGACAGCGTTATTAATTACACCGCTACTAAAAATATTCCTGGACTTCTACTTTTTCTTGTCTTTGAGAAAGCTTTTGACACATTGGAATGGTCTTTTATACAAAAAGCACCTATCTCTTTCGGATTTGGCCCTTCCATTGTCCAATGGCTTAAAACCTTTTATAACAACACTGAAAGCTGTATTATGAACAACGGCTGGGCAAGCAGCTTCTTTTCGGTCCACACGGATGTCCGCCAACGCTGTCCTCTCTCTCCTTACCTTTTTATTCTTTCAGCCGAAATTCTGGCCAAAGCAATCCGAAATAATGCAGACATAAAAGGTTTATTAGTTAAGGATATTGAGATTAAATTAAGTCAATATGCTGACGACACAACACTAATTCTTGACGGTTCAGAAAAGTCCCTCTCTGAAGCGCTAAGGATCTTAGAAAGCTTCGAAAAAGTTTCAGGTCTCAGACTAAACAGTAAAAAGACTGAGGCTCTTTGGATAGGCTCTTGTGCTGGCAAAAGTGAAGAACTGCCCCCAGAAAAAGATTTCAACTGGCAAAATACAAAGGTTAAAGCGCTCGGCTATCAACTCACCCTGAAACTACAACCAAACTTAACTTCGTCGAAATAATAGAAAAAATGCGAAACTGCTTGGGCTGCTGGTCAGTTCCAAGACCAAGCCTTATCGGGAAAATAACAGTTCTTACGAGTTTGGTTGCCTCCCAAGTAACTCATTTTTTGTCGCCTCTTTAAACCAATTCTCAAATTAGAAAACAATTAAATGACCTCTTTTTTGACTTCCTTTGGGACAGTAAGGGCGATAAAATCAAGAGAAACGTTATCACACAAAATTATGGCAACGGAGGACTTAGAATGATCGACATTTCTTCTTTTAATACAGCCCTTAAGTCCGTGTGGATAAGAAAGTACCTGGACGAAAGTAACAAGGGGAAATGGAAAATTTTTTTGACGCTGAGCTCGAAAAACTTGGAGGCCAAACTATTTTTAGGGGCAACCTTGACATAAAAGACTCAAAGAAGCTTGCTAACAATCTTAGTCCCTTTCTGAAAGAGATTCTCGAGATATGGCCTGAATTAAACTATCAAGGTTCAATAGAAACGGTAGAGTCCTTCCTCACACAAAGCCTGTGGTATAATTCTTTGATTAGAGTTATGGACAAACCGGTCTTCTATAAAAGTTGGTATCAAATGGGCATTTCTCAGGTGAATCAAATCGTTAAGGAACAACCAAGTACTTTCTTGTCACCAACAGAATTTGAAAAAAGTATCATACAAAGGTTTGCCCTTTGACATTCTATGGAATGGCATCTACCCTCCGAGAGCTCTGGAAAAATAAAAAACTACCAAGTGTACCACTAAACTGTAAAGAACAAGAGTCTTTCACAACCGCCTTTTTAAAATCGAAAAATCCCAGCAGACTAGCATATCAAAAACTGGTGGAATTGAAATGTAACTATAAACTACAAATGGAGCAAAGTTTTCCTAGAAGCTCGTGATTTAATCTGGCATATCGCATATATGACCGCTTTTATGTACGAAAAGCACCAAACTGAGTGAATTTCAATTTATATTCCTTCATCAAAGTTTCGCAACAAACGTATCTTTAGTCAAAACGGGATACAAAGATGACATTAGGTCTTCATTTTGCCATGAAGAAGCTGAAAACTTCACGCATCTTTCCTGGTTCTGCAGCAAAATAGAACTTTTCTGGAAACACCTTATTGCCTTTCTAAAGGATCGTAAACTTTTATCCAACGACTATCTCCTTAACAGTCTTGTCGTCTTGGGTCAGATGCCTGACACTTCCAAAAACAAAGCCGCAATTAACTTCGTTCTGTTACTTTCGAGATTCTACAATTCGCTTTGCAGAAGCAAAGGAAATATTCCAACTATTGAAAATTTTAAGCCTTTTTTAAAACAATATAATAAAAAAATTGAACCTTTCCCTCTTTAGTAACCTGTTACCAGTTTTGGGGTCTCTTGCTCTTTTTACACTTTCCTTCCTACCAGACATTCCCTTCCTATTTTCCTCGTTTCAACATTCAAAGTATATAAAGCTAAATTTCAGTGAATCAGCAGAGAAAATATCTCTTTTTTCTCCTTTGAGTTAGAACTACAGTTAACTAAAATTTACCATACTTCCCCGCCCCCTTTATTGTCTGGTTTTTGTAGCGTATGTAATCCGTATTGTAAGTAGCGCAGGTAGCTGGGTTTTTTTGTATATATGTAAAGCGTGGAGTATAGCACTGTTAGTAGCGTAAGTATCTCATTGTAAGTAAGTATTGCAAGTCTTGTATTGTAAGTAGAGTATAGTATTGTTAGTAGCGTAAGTATCTCACATTGTAAATAAGTATTGTTTTGTAAGTAGAGTATAGTTTTGTTAGCAGCGTAAGTACCATACATTGTTTGTAAGTCAGTATTGTAAGTTAGTACTTTGTGATTGAAAATGTTTTAATTACATTTTTAAAAAAACTTCGCAAATTTATTTTCTTTTTTGTCGGTCGCTTTTCAGAAATAGTGTGTGGTTTGCTCTTTCTTTTAAACAATTTTCCCTGCAGAGTTGAGAATGTACAACACAGAGCTGACAAGAACCACCGAAGAGTTGAGCCGCAATCGAGTAGTGTTTAATTTTGCATTAAACATAAGGAAATTGAGATCGCTTGAAGGTACAGAGCTTTCAGCAATAGCTGTTATTTGTTTATTCGGATAGTTTCAACTTTTAAATTTGAATTCACGGTGTTGACGAATCGTAATAAACGCAGTGAAATGTTATCACTGTCGTTAAGTTAACGTTTTGAAGTGTGAATCTGTTTATTCATATATGTACGCTCATTTTTATAAAGCTCTCTTGAATAGACTTTACTTTCGATAAATGTGTCACTTTCACCAGTAATTTTTATCGGCATCGCATCATAACTCCTTTTATCTTTCGATGTGCTCTCGTCGCAAACCGATGTTAAACTGTGAACTCGATCGATTATCCAGCGTCCGTTGTTATCGTTTTAAACTTTCGCTTGCGTCTTACAACTTCAGTACCAAAGAACAAATACGATTGCGAAAAAAAGCAAATAGGCCTGGAATTTTTTTTTCAGTTGTTGAGTTATTTCCTCCGCCGGTTCGATTCTCACGTTTAAGAATATTTACTGTGGAAAAATACTGTAATTATCCGCTGACCACCACGCAATGTGACCGCTTTGCAATTTTTTCGGTCCGTATCGTCCCAGACCTCGTCTCTCCCAACCCCCCATCCCCCGACCTGTACATTACTTTGCTTTTTTCTTTCCATGTTCAACGGTCCACTCTTCGTCACATTTACTTTTTAGTTACTGGAGGAGGGTATGACAACAGAGATGTTTTCTCACCCGGTGTCACGGCAGCCGTATTGGTGTTTCAAACCAGTGAAACCTGAACAAATCCTTAAGCAGTTAAACTCTTCTTCTGAGTGAAAACCCTAAGACACACAACAACCAAGAATACTTACAGTATACTTCCACAGCAATCACCTTTGTCTTCCCATCACCAAAATGATTGAAAGGAGTACATGCATAGTTTACTTGGCTTGTCCTTTGAACGACAGATGTTTCAAAGGTATTACCCACTGAGATATTCCTTAAACTCTCTTGACCTCTGTAAAATCGATATCTGGCTGGTGGGTTGGCTTGCGTACTGCAGCTCAGGTTAAATGGTGTGTTCAAAGAGACAATGTTTGCGCTTCCGGTCATTGTTGTGTTAAATGGACCAAAGTCTAACGTAAAAAAAGATGTGTACATCAACTTGTTAGTGTCAATAATTAACCATCGATTGCATTTAACCAAATTATAGTTTGTACGTATCTATTAATCCTCTCAACACAAATGACGATAAAGAGCATTTCTGCCAGCAACTGCAAAACGTCCCTAGCGACGAGGAGCGAGGATAGAGGGCTGTATTCGCAAAGTACTGAATTCGCAGTTGCAAGCATTTTTCTTAACGTCTGTGCAGCACATCTGAACACTTTTAGTGGGTGGAGCAAAACAATGCGCGCAGAAAGTCTAATCTTGAAAATGATGAAGGTAATTCTATAGTTACTTCAAGACAATAAGGTTCATTCAAAAATTTAACAACAGTGAAGTTTCACTCAAAAACGCGTGGATTTTAGTAGAGATTTTAATGATCAGTTCAGCAGTCATTAAGCCCACAAAAAAGACTATTGTGTACGAATAAGTAGGAGTTGTGCAAACAATAGGAAAGCAAAAGCCTTCTTAACTCAGACGAAATCAAACATAATTGGACAAGTCACTTCTTCTCTTCTTTGAAGCATCGGTTAGTAGGCCATTTTCGAGTTGTCTCAGGCGTCTGTTTTAAACCAAGGCTAAGTTCAAAGCCTTTGATATGAAAATGATGAGTTTTAGTCTCCTACAAACCAAACTCCTTTTCAAAAGAATTGTTTGCACTTAGCCTCGCTTTTTGGAACTCGGAAAATGGCAAATAAAAATTTAGTCTAGTTTTTATTTGTTTGACACTTCACATTTGGACTTACACTCAACAGTTACGACGACCGACTCGCTAGATGCATTTCCAATTCCATTATCAGCGGTGCAAACGTAGAGTCCTTCATCGCGTTTTCCACGGACGATAAAAGACTTGTTAATAATATTGTTATTTTTTGTCCAGGTAATGGTTGGTTTAGGATAACCATCAGCGCTACAAGTGAGATTCACTGCATCACTTTGATTCACAGTCATGTTTTCAGAAATGCAAGTGATGTTTGGTGGATCTAGAGCAAAGCAGAAAAACAAAACAGAAAAATTCATGTTACAAAGTAAAATTATGCAGTCGATATAATGAACGTGTAATCACTGAAGAAAAATAAACTATCTTTTTAATTATTTGTATGACCAATAAAGCATTTTACAAATGCAAGAACATTCGTTAATGCCAATATAGTTTCAACTGAGTGAAAATAACGATCTTTTAGAGGAATAATCAAACATTTGTGGCATCTTATTACAGGAAAAGACATTCATTAACAGAAAAGATATAGGGCCAAATATTTAAACGAAGTGTAACTGAAGCCGCGGTTTAGCGGATCTTTGAGCCTCCACACCTCTTCTTTGGTGGGTTGGTTTAAGAAGATAAATGCTTTTCTAGTCTTCTCTATATGCTTTCATAAATCTGATCATAATAAATGATGTTTAGATAAAATCGTTGGGCAAATTGAAAATAACTTAGAACGCGGTTTTGTTAAACACAGGCTAAACTACTTTTAAATATTTGGCCCATAGTGTTTTGGCTCATTTATCCTTTGATGTTTTCGCCATTCAAACATTGCAGTATATAGGTCTACATAAACCTAAACCACGCAACACATTTTCTACCCTCCTGCTCCCTGATTTTGTACATGTATTGACTAAGCATTGTACGTATCGCGTATTTGTTTGTGCAGGCACAGCAGCAAATTACATACATGTACACTGTACAATCCTAACCAAATGACCGCAACGTACGTACTATACGCGCCACTTCTGCAATACGACTTTTAGGTATATTTAGTCAAGCCATATGGTGAAAAAATTGTGCACTAAGGGGTAAGAGCACCAAATTTGGCATGGTAATAGTATTTGGGCTGCTGAACAATATTAGCTATGAACACCAGTCAGGGGGGGACATTTTGTACTCAGGGGGGTGGAGTGGTTGCAGTTTCCAAATTAATCCTGTTGTTATTGAAAAGAAAGCTGCAAAGTCAAGCTGATCTTGCCATATCAAAAAGGCGTGGTGTCCTAAGGAAGTTTAACAAGGTCTAATTAATCTAAATTTCTAGGTGACATGGGGGAGGACACAGCTTAGGGGGAGGGGTAGGAGTATCTCTGTATGCATGTTTGTATAAGTTTCTCTTGTGAGGAAGAATGCAATGACCTTTCCAGAATTCTGGCATAATTTTAAATCATTTAGCGATTAGTTTCTCCTCTGAACTTATCCTTCTTATCCATGGTAGTGGTGGTGTTTATGGAAGGGGGGGTGGGTTCGTCCTGATGTAGTAAGCGCGTGTTTCTTGTATTATGAGTCAATCAACCTGTGGAAAAAAACTACATGATTTAAGGTACTCTTTTAGGCTATTTAGTCTCTTGATCATCGTTGCACCATTCATAATAGGGTAGCAGGACGGAGGGGAGGTCCTGGTCACGTTTCACATGTAAATTTTGACAAATTTCACGTATCACGTGCGTTATAAACCAATTTTCACGATGCACGTATTTGGTCATCAAGTTCAGTCGTTACTCCAAGGGGTAAAGAAACAAAACCACATTAAAGGGTGTTAACGAGCACCCGAAACCATTGTCTCATTGACAAATACAAGGAATTAGTCGGGTCTATTGGTACGAAGCTACCGCTCGATGTGACAAGGAGATACGTCTTCCAGAGCGAGTGCGAATTAATCTCAACAGAAAATTAATCGCATTGCTGTCAAGATCAGAAGAAGCTCCTCGGTCTTCTTCTGAGTTCTGTTCGTGTCATTGTATTCCAACTCAACTCTCTCTCCAACGGATAATTCTTTGGTACATGCTTAAGGAAAGTGGTCCCGCAGAATCTTTTGTGGTGCACTGCATCGCTTTTCCATGCCCCGCTGTCCATTGTTGCATTACGCTTTGGTCACGTTAAGATAGATAGCTTTAATAAAACTCCATTGCAGCCCAAGGGCTGGATTACGGACTGTACAATACGTTGAATACTAAGACTAACTATTATAAATAAATAACAGTAAATAAATAAAACAAAAGAACAAAGATACTACGTCATGAAATTTAAGAAAATAGCCGCGAATTTACAATAAAACCATTAGAAAATAGCCGCGTTATGCATGATAAAACTATTCATTAGTCTATTTGTTCTACAAAGAGGCACGTTAAAAGCGCGCTCTCTCCTTAAGGCTACAGTACTAAGATTACGTGAAGGCAAAAGGCCATGTAATTTGTGGAGGCTGTTGTCCTTAATCTCATTGAATAGGCGCTCTGTCAGCCATTGGCGCCGTTGATGGAGGGTGGCAATATTGCACTCTTTGAGAGCCTCTTGATAGCCTAAATCTGGGAAAATAATTCTGAGTGCACGGCGCTGAATTTTATCTAGCTCTTCAGAGAGATACTCAGGCAGACCATTGTGGAAAACGTGGCAGGCATATTCAGACATGGTCCGGATACACGTAGTATAGAAACAAAGTAGCTGCGCAGGATCTCCTTTTGCCCGCTTAAGCTGCCTTAATAGATATAGCCTAGAGGCTCCTTTTTTGATAACATTCTCTATGTGAGCGTTCCACTTTAGATTGTTTGAAATTGTGAGACCAAGAAGTTTTGCGCTAGTTACAACCTCAACCGGTTTGTTGTTAATAGTAACTGCTTCGAAAGGATCTACAGACCTTGAGAAACATCTCCAACTCTTTACACTTGGTCTCATTCAATTGGAACTTATCTATTTCGGCTTGCCTAACTAGGTCGTTTACAGCAAATTGGATTCCACTTGGTTGGCCCTCGTGGACTGTCTCGGCCATCGATGTGTCATCGACGTACTTCCAAAGGTTGACCCCATTGACATTGATGTAATTTATCATTACCAGGAAGAGCCAGGGCCCCAATTTGGTCCCCTGCGGGACACCTGCCCTGACAGATCCCCAATCCGAGTAGCAATCGTGGGCGAGTTTCACTCGTTGCTTCCTGTCAGTAAGAAAATCTGCAATCCAGTCCAGCACCCAAGGTGGTAGCTCATAATCAGTAAGTTTAGCCATAAGAATGGCGTGGTCGATGAGATCGAATGCTTTCCTAAAGTCAAAGAGCACCACGCACACTTTAGAACTGTTGCCGTCAGTATTCTTATCCCAGTTGTCGAGCATGTTGATTAGGGCATGCACTGTGCTGGAGTTCGGAACAGTTCCATATTGGTTCTGGTCAATCTTCGCAAGGACGGCAGGCTTGATGTAGCCGTCAACGACAAACTCTTCCCCGACTTTGGAGAGAATTGGAGTCAACGAAATGGGTCTCAGGTGTTTGTTCACATCGCTAACAAGTGAGGTCTTCGGGAGGGGTGTAATGTCCGCTTTCTTCCACGAAGTTGGAAGGCGACGCTCCAAAAAGGAAGAGTTCAAGATGTCTGCCACTGGTGCAATAAATAAGTCCGCGTTTTCTTTTAATACCCAAGAGGGGATTCCATCAGGTCCGGATGCTTTGTTCGTATTAAGTGCCGATAGTTTCTCAAAGACCGAAAACTCAGATATCGGACGGGGAAGATCTTGTTGGCATGCACACGCGCGCGCACGCACGTGTGCATCAGGCGTGACTAGAGGGGTGAAAGCGGTCATTGGTGACAAAAAAGCGTCGTTAATAACATTGGCCAAATGTCTAGGATCTTCCCCCTCATCGGAAAGATGTAGAAGGTCTGCGATGGGGCTCGCGTAAGACATCTTTGCTAGGCAACTCTCTTAGTGCGCTGAAATAGTGGAGAAGTTCTCAAGGTTTCTTCCCTTTTGCGCAGATAGCCGAAACTTTTTTGGCATCATTGACTCTTTGACTCCGGTTTGTGTGGGCAGACATTAGGACAACAAATCTCTCAAGCACCGGGGCATAGTGTCTTGAACACCCCTCAAAGTTTCCTAAGGGATGTAAAAATTTCAGTGGCTTCTCCATAAGGCAGCCTCTTGACCCAGGCGCTTTTCTAGTCCTAAGAAAGCCGATGTGTGATTGCGTGATCAAAGTACACTACCATATAACAGTTCACTTTAATATCTCGAGAGCCAATAGCAGGGGAAACAACTGGGGTTATGGTCAATTTTATCGACACCAGGAGACTTACGTAAGTTTCAAGTGGATTCTCACAATGAATCTTTGCGACGTCAAATCACAAAGTTAAATCTTAAAAGCTATAAGAAGCAGCTCGATTCTGTATGATGTTGCTTGACTGTGTCTCAATGACTAGCTCCATCGGCCCAGGAGGGTCTCAATTAAACCTCTTGAAAACTGCGAGATGTGAGGCTTTTTAACTACCAGGGTTCCTTTCTGTGGCGTTCTTTTAAACAATTGCATGGTCTTCACTTAAACTTCAAGACCATCTCTATATGGCGTTAAATCCATACATTGCCATTATCAAATGCTTTTTATCAGGCGCACCCAAAGGGAATATAGTTCAAACCCATTTAAACATACCATTGTTAAACGTATTTTAGTATTTAAGCGGTAGATGTAGGCATATTTTTATCCACTAAAAAGTTTTCATCTGTGCGGATTTCCTAGCTAAAAGCCTAGTGATCCGAAAATTATAGGGATCAAAACTTTCCTTTTCGAAAATTTTAGCCAGAAAAAAGGCTCCCGAAAATTCTAGGTTACCTTTTTTACGGTAAAAATCCGTTAAAAATGGGCAATTACACCATTTGTTAGATGTTCGAAAATCCTAGGAGAGGCAGGCAAGCAAGAAATTTTACAACAAATGTTCCGAAAATTCTAGATGTCAGATATTTTCCGAAAAGATATTTCCCGAAAATTGACGTTGGGTGCCCCAAGGGGTGCCCTTGCATTATGTGTTTAAGATTTGTGTTGTGCACTTGCTGTGAAATATCACAGCAAATATTACACTGTTCCAGCCTTGATGCATTCATTCTAGATAGCACGGAAAATCTGAACGCTGAATAATCTGAATCATTCCGGCTCCTTCGCGGAACTGAAGAAACCAGTTCTGCAAGCGCAATGCCGGAGTAGCACATGAA